AACAGTCCCAGCCTTGAGTTGAATTGCAAGGCCTTGCTCAGGCAACAGAAACCAGGTGAGGCCAGGCTTTTCCAGATCCTTTGAGAAGTAAACCGAAAATCCCCTAGTGTCATCTTGCACATCAACATGTATGCTGCTGGTCAAATCCTCTGCAATAGCCAGTGATGGCATTAATGTCTTCTCACCAACTTTAACACCTGTGGAGAACTTCTGATGCCTCCTGATTTCTCGGAGTAATGGCTTCTTGCAAACAGTGCCCATCATGACTTCATAGAGCTTCATAGAATGATGCTTCATCAAGCTATCAGCCAATGTTTTAGTCATGTGAATACCCCTGTAGGTTGTTGCACTGGAAGAYGCAAAATCAAACCGGTGACCTGCTGAAACCATCACACYRGATTCATAAGGAACATCTCGCACCCTGCTATGTGTCTGGACAAACCTCTCAAAGTCCCTTCTGTCCTGATCCGTTATATACTTGGTTTCATCATAGTAGTGTATAAGGATGTAACCTGCATTGGTGTTGATCATGAAGGAGTCTTTACCATGAAGGTCATCCACAGAAGGCCTTCTGATGACCGTCGGCCAGCCATTATTGTCAACAAGTTCACTTTCAGGACCCAAACCACTAGCAAATTCATTAGGCATTTGGTTAACATCATAAACAAGCCCATTGCATTGCAGTCGTTTCCMTTTCTTCTTTGTTAGCAAGTATTCCAATGATTTCTCTCTGGTGATACTTGCTCCATTGTAGAGTAGAGGAAGAACTCTCTGATCAGTTGCRATAGGACAGTTGATTGTCTTCACACAATGCCGATTGCTTGAAGCAACCTCTTGRACAAAATTATCATCATCAATCTCCTCACATTGAATGAAGTCTTCCRTTGGATCAAGSACCTCATCACTTCCGTTGCTCCCCTTATGGTGACATACCTCACTTCCGTGATGAAGATGCTCTCCTCCTGCCATCACTGGCTGGTCAGTAGACATATTGGCTTGGCACTACACCCTTC